GCAAATAATAATTTTTTTATAAACTGTGTGTTGAGAAATTGAATTTACAATTTTAGTTTACCTTTTTTTTAGACGAAGATGTTTTTTTATTTAAAAAAAGTCAGATTCATAACGGATTTGTTTGCGGAGATGGTAGCGATTCAAGCGGCATATGAACGCTATTGAAGCGGCCTTTTAAATTTTATGACAAATTTCATAGTTCATATTGCGAACGTATTTGGGTATTTTATAATGCGGAACCGCGATATGTGAGCATTATCAATTTGCACACCATGCTCAAATCAAATGCTGATATGTGGATTTTTGTTGGCAGAACGTCATGCGGTCTGGACGTCATCGTGTGTCAGACACAACGTCGTTTTTTATGCGCGAAATGCGCATATCGTTTGTTATCTTAATAAATCCTAAGACTCAGCGGTAAAAACATTTTATTTACTATAATAATAACATATTATTAAGATGGATTTATTAACTCAATTAATAACATATTATTAGGTTTGGATTTTATTAATTCAATTAATAATATATTATTAAGATGCAATCTTAATAATGCTTTTTTCGCGCATTCTTTTCCCTAGCTGGAGAGAAAAAAAAGCACTGTACGGTGTACACACCTATAACAATGCAGATAAAATATGGTAAATTGATCCTTTCAAGGTCGGGACTGGCGATTTCCTAAACTTAATGGATAAGTTCAATACACGATAATTCCGTTTCAAAGAGTCATTTTAATTTCATTGCAACAATGCAAAAATTCATGTGTGTACTCCGCAGTGAAAAAACAACTTGTCAGTGCTCCGGCGAAAAAAATGCGCGAAAAAAGCGTTATCAAGATTGTATCATAATAATATGTTATTAATTGAGTTAATAAATCCATCTTAATAATATGTTATTAGCTCCGAATCATAGGATTTATTTACCGTTTGTCTGTAATGTGGGGTCTATATGACCCCAGATACTCTAAATTCGCTATAACTTTTTAATTTCAAGTTGTATGATGTTATAATTTATTGACATCTTCAATCTAGTTGAAACACGCATTTTGAGCACTTATTTGTCAAAATCGGTCCATAAAAACCCGAGGTATTCTGACTTGAAGAGAAGACTTACAAATGCTGTAAGATGGGGTCATATGGACCCCAAATTAAAGTGCCCATGTTATTGCTAAAATCTTATTTTATCTCATTAAATCAAGAATATTTTTAAAATTTGAAGTTTTATCTTCATTTTGAGCCGCATTTTGTTCAGATACGACAAGTAGTTCCATTGTTTTGATCACTTCCAAATGGCACCTAAATTGATGAAATTCCAGTTTTTATCGAATTATTACATCTTATTGGTCCATATTTTTCCATGTAAAGCTCACATCAACTCGATATTATACTTATTTTATTCCTTTTGATACGCCCTTTCAAAAAAACAAACTTTATTTTCACAAATATTCATAGATTTTTTTAGAAAATGAAGCAAAATAACGTCAAAAATGTGAATCTGCCAAATGATTCAAGACTAGTACGATGTTTTTGAAATCATCATATCTAAGTAATTTTTGGTTCAATATTGACAAAAATAGGCTTAAAAGATGAAGAATGCTTTAAATTATTGGATCAAAACGATATTTTTGAGAAAAAAATTATTTTTGTTCCATTTTTATCAGAGCGTGTTTTGAGCTGACGTTAGCAGTACTCACTAACGTCAGCTGCTTATATTAGCTGCTGACGAGTATGCATTGAGTTGTTTTAACGCATTTGCAGTATAAAAACGAGATATTTTCCAAACATATGACCCCACATTACAGCATTTGTAACTTTCGACTTATTGGGAGTGTCGGTTAATAATGTCGATTTTTTGGCCTGAAAATGGCATTTATTTGTGAAAATGAATGAGTACATTAACCAATATATTGCCCATCTTTAGCTATGACTTCCTCCCATCTTCTGGGAAGTTTGTTGATTCCTCGTTGGAAGAAGTCCTCATCTTTTGTTCCAATCCATTCATCGACCCATTTTCGCACTTCTTCAGCATTTCGAAAGCGTACATCTGCCAGGCTGACCTGCATTGATCGGAACAAATGGTAATCAGAAGGAGCAAGGTCTGGAGAGTACGGGGGGTGATCAAGATGATCCCAACCGAGCCTCTCTATTTTTTCCTGAACGATTTTTGCACGATGTGGTCTGGCATTGTCATCGTGAAATAAAACTTTGTGATGTTTTCGAGCTATCAATGGTCGTTTTTCGTTCCGTTTCTTTGCCAATTCGCCCAGTTGTCGTCGGTAGCGATCAGCTGTAACCGTTTCATTCGGTTTTAACAGCTCGTAATACACCACACCTTTCTGATCCCACGAAATGCATAGCATAAGCTTTTGGCAATGAATATCGCGTTTTGATTGTGTAGTTGATGGTTGGCCGGGATCAACATAGTCTGCTTTACGTTTAGGGTTATCGTAATAAACCCATTTTTCATCACCAGTAACAATTCGACTCAAAAAACTATGTTTTTTTTTGCTCTGCGAGATGTTGCATGCTGTGATTCGGGCATTGAGTTGATTTTCGTTCAGTTGATGTGGAACCCATTTTCCAAGTTTTCGAATCTTTCCCATTGCATTTAAACGTTCAGAAATGGTTGATCGGGCGACACCCAATTCCAAAGCAAGTTCTTGTTGCGTTCGACACGAATTTTCATCCAATAATGCTTGCAATTATTCGTCTTCAAATTTTTTTGGTTGACCTGGCCGTTCTTTGTCTTCCACGTCAAAATCACCACTTCTGAAGCGTGCAAACCCAAGGTGTGAATAAATGGGGCAACATTGTTGACAGCGCCACGCCAAAGCGGTTGCCCGGCCAACTACAGTCAGTCGTAACGCAAAGTGGCACAAGCATGTCCCATTTTCTGTATACACTCGTTGCGTTCATACGCGTGTGTATGCGAAAAATGGTACAAGCTTGTGCCACTTTGCGTTGCGATTGACGTATGCTTCTGATTGAAAATAACCAGATTAAAGATAACTAAAACCAAATGAAAAGAAGATCCAAAAAAAATTAGAGAACATATTCCCTGAAAGAGTACCTTTTCTACTTATATTTGGCAAAATTTAAAAAAAATCATAGAGTTGGTTTCGCTGCAATAAGACTTTGAAATGGATTTCTACTTTTATTCTGACTAAACAACAAAGTCTTGTTGCAGCAAAACAAAGACTATGATTTCTCTAAAACTTGGTTGAATATAAGTAGAAATTACACTTTATTAAAAAATATATCTCTCAAATTATTTGGAATAAATTTTCATTTGGTTTTAGTTCATTTTAATTGGGTTTTTTTTTCGAACACAAGCATACGTCAATGCGTTGCAGTAGTAACCAAAAAACAACCAACGTGAAGTTGGCTGCGTTGCCCGGTATCCATTATGTTCACCCTTTGTGCAAACCATCGTTCACAAGTTTTTTTGAGTTGGAACATGTTCACCGTAAGCTTCTACTAACAATCGATGACTTTCAGCGGCCGTTTTCATCAAATGAAAGAAGGTTATTAAACTTCCCCGCACGAAATTCGACGTTTTCGGAGCAAAAAAAAACTTTGTTGTTCACACTTCAACGAAATGACACATATTGAAATTTTTAGCCTAATGACAGACAAAAAAAAAAAAAAAGAAAATTGCCGCGGTGTGCTCCGATGCACATAGCGCTAGTTACGCCATCTGTTATCTGAATCGACATTATTAACCGACACACCCAATATTACAGACAAACGGTTAAGAAAAATCCAACATATTTAGTAACATATTATGTTATTATTATGCTGAATCTTAATAACGTTATTATTATGTTATGTTGGACCAATATATCGGCCGTTATTATTATGTTATTAAGTATAGTTAATAATATGTTATTGCCTGTAAATCTGTAGTGAGAAAAGATTGAGTTGCATGATCTGTTTTTGCGCTATTCATTGAAGCGATATACTTACACATTAGGGTGGATCAATTTTCAAAATCCATGAATATCGAAAGGTAAATGTTGTTTGAATCAATTTAATTTATCAACTTGATTGGAACGACTATCGCAAGTATAGTATATATTAAACGCATCAATTCATTTTTCATTGTTTTCAAATTAAGCGCGAAAAAGATTACATCAAGTCTTAATGGAAATGGATGCGTTTAGTATTATGGTATCTGGCGTTGCTGTGCCACACGATACTAGCAATCGTCGGATTGGAAACTAAAAAGCGCGCTAAATTCGAAATTTGGTTTTACTTCCATCCCATGATGAATATAGATAATGATAGTACCGTGTATGGCTATAATATCGGGAAATTGAATTTGAATTGAAAATATCTTTCGATTTTCTAGGGTTTTTTTTTCTTGATTTCTACATTTTACACTTTTACAATTTCATCTTATTTCTGCATTTTCGATCACATATTTTTAGAAATACCTTGATCGGAAGAGAGCCTATGTACAAGAAACTTTTGTTCCACGCATGCATCATTTTATTGGCCGAAAATACGGATGGACTGTCAATTCGGCTGAAAAAGAGACAGTTCTCTTTCAGTAATTTTAAATGAATGTGATTTTAAAAATCGGCTCACCCTAGTATACACACGGTCTGCCGTTTTGAGGTGAACATTTTGCAAAATGCTATAAATTGAAATATCGATTGCGAATCAGTGAACTATACGATGCACATGATTCGACCGCAATCTTTCTAATTTGTTTGTAATTATTGTGCATCATACGCTTGAAACCTCGAACAGGTTAACATCACACATTGCACATCGGCAGGCAGCTGGAAAATCGTGTTTTATACAAAGTCAGCATTCGAACAATAAAGTGCACACATCCACCCGTCATCTCAGGGTAAATAAATACTGATCGATACATCCAGAAATTCGTGCATCATCACTTCTCTCGTTGTTTCAGCATCCATCAAAATTCCACACTCAATACATCGATGATGACATCGATAGCAATCGCCCTCAAACCAAAATAAAACTCCAATTTGCTTTACTTTTCAACATTTCCATTTACTTTTATTTGGGTTTATTCTCTGTGTTTATTTTATTAACAATCATCTCTTTTATCTGGCAACTATGGAATGCTAATATGATGCATTTAATGAAAATAAAATTCATATGATTGAATCCGTGTTCAATTGATCAAATCAGAACGTGCGTTCTTTTCCATTCTGTATGACCTTACTTCCTCTCTTACATATACATACATAATATAGATTTTTTAGTATCATTTTTTGCAAGAGAACATTAGTCTCTGTCGAACTATTTCAATGGAGCAAAGTAAAGAGGATAATAGAACTGGAACGATGCGAGAATGCATTTGCAATGCATTCATTGCAGTGGTTTTTGGTCATATGAATCAGTTGCCCAGGTGACACTCGTAATCTCTCTCTCTCTCTCTCTCTGCGTTAGATTGTAAGAGCAAATTATTCCCAAACTAAATATACACTTTGGAACTGAATGGTATTGTGTGTTGTATTTTTTTCTGGTGGTTTGGACATGCCCCGATTTGTACGATTTAACTCCAAACTAAGTCAATTTCACTTGGTCACCTGGTTAGATGGTCTAGTTCAGGGAAAGCAGTTTTCATTTGATTTTCAAAATATATAGGACAATGAGTAAAGCCAATGCCTGCTAACAATTGACTTTTATACCTTTCAAAACGTTCGCAGCGCCGCAGTAGTCGTTTTTGTAATGTAAAATACATTCAAAAAAATTCAATAGAAAAAAATCATAACGAAAAAATTTCATTCCCTTTTCTGTGGATCTTCTTCGAATACAGTAACATACTTGAGCATTGCAGCGCCACTATAATCGCAAAACTAACTATGTTGGATGCAGACAAATTGTTGTCGTATTTCCATACGATTGACAGAATGCTGTTACCCATTGAGTAAAGCACAACAACTGAGAGAGAAAAATGACATTGATTTTGTTTTTATATTTCAATAGAGATTGATTTCAACGATATAGCGAATTCATATGAGCCTGAACTGACAATTATTTTACACTGAACCTTAAAAACGTCCAATAATAGGCCAATCAAATAATCATGTTAATTTTACTTAAAACTAGAATAAACGAAGAAGAAAAAAGACATATCTACTATACATTAGTTCTCTACATTGGGATACAATTTGGTTGAGAATTTATTTTAAAATAATTCATTATAACGAAATCTGAATTACAGTTCTGTTCTACTTTTTCGTTCTAAATGTACATATCTATAGAATGATCTTCTTTTCATGTGGTTGGTATTGTCGGCAAATATGTGAACGGTATTGTTGGTTCTTCACACCTTTGGAAAGAAGAAAGAAAAAAAAAACGGTTAAAAATGTTATGAAATTTTATCAAATAAAGACTTTGAAATAAATGTTGAAAGACAAGAGATGTCAAATAATGTCTGTTCCAGGACAATTCATTAAATCAGCTTTGCGTTTTATCCACTATTGTTATTGTGTAGAAATGGTGGAATAATGATGAAACTAATTTAATTGTGAGAGGAAAAAGTTTTGTGCTCGTTTCCCTCAGACCAAATGTATAGGGAGTAGAAATATGCACGAGGAAGAAGAAAAAGGAAAAAAAGACGGAACCCGTTGAAACAAAACCAAACATGTGTTTTAAGATTACTGAGCATCTCAGCATTTCGTAAGGCACGGATATATCCGAGCATATCGACGACGCATACTGTATAATACAGTGGCGTGTGTTGCTACGTGTAGCCGCAACGACTCGACCGAAGTGTGTTCAGTTGATGTGGCTGCACGCAGCAACAACATACACATTCCGGTCGAGTCGTTGCGGCTGCGCGTAGCAACGCACGTCACTGTATGCGTCGTCGATATGCTCGGATATATCCGTGCCTTACGAAATGCTGAGATGCTCAGCAATCTTAAAATACATGTTTGAACAAAACATGCGATGCCAGTTGCATAAATTGTTATGTTCGTACATATTCAGATGAGATTTTACTCGAAAAGACGAAGTATTTCAGCTCAAAAGTTTTTGGTGCTGAACACAAGAACTAAGCTAAAACGCATATTTTAATTGGTAATTTTCACCTTCAACAACAATCATTTTCAGCTTTTTTCTTTATTATAGTCCCTGGCCGAAACTGGAATTTGTCGCAACAACGAAGATTGCAACGTGCAAGTTATCTTTGCACAAATTTTTGCTACGGATATATGTGATGTGTAACTTTGTAAACTGTTCTAGTGAATTCACTTTTCGGCACAACATCAGATGTCAAAGTAAAATATTTTGTCAAGAAAAAGTTTCTCTTGTTTTTGAATTGCTCCATATCCTTCGTGTGCTCCTTTTAAACGGGCCATATTTGCAAGAGCGAAATAAAATGAGAAGGAGAAGGAAAAACAATGACTGAAAATGTGACTAACAATGAATTTTTTCTAAATACGACGTCAGCCCTACGTTGCTATTTTCCCAGTGTGTTAATATTCATTTGAGACGCTGTCTCTTGCAGTTGTTGAGTGTTCTTTCTATGTTTTGGAAAAATTATCTCACAGAATTGAAATAGTTTCATCGTTGAACGATGCAATGATGCAAACTGGCATATATTTTACATGGTAAACGAATTAGAAGCGGATTTCAGCGCCATCTATCTACGCTAGAAAAACTATTGTGAAATAAATGTAATACTACATATCAATTTTTAACGTTTCAAAACGATTCAATGTCCTCATAAAGTTTTTTTTTAATGAAATTTGTATGGAAAAATCTATAGATGGCTTTAGAATGAGACATTGCCTCATTTAACGATGGAATTAATAATATGATTTTGTTCAAGTAGTAGGTAGATTTAACTAAACTGCTCACTAAAATATTTTACAGAACGTTGGCCTTATGTTGTGCCAATAAATATTTTATATGAACAGTTATTGATTGATTGATCGTTTTAGCTAACTAAATCCAAGAGAAGTGATTATCCCGTCCTGCTTTCAGTTTTGCCAGCATTTTAAATCTACATGTTGTGTATGCACAATTGTTCCAATCAAATTACCGATTCATCGGTCAAACCGTAAGCAAATTGAATTTATGCAATTGTCAAAGTTTGAATGGAGTTTTTTTCTCTATCTCACTCTCCGTACATACCTCTGTTGTAAAATAACTTTGATTGCAGGCATGTATTATATACACGCAAATGTATATGAAACGAACGATGTACTAAATGTTGAGCTAAGTGACACTCATATCGATGAGTACTTTCTCAATGAGCACAGCTGACGATTCGTAGTGGAATGTAATGCCCAATCGCTTTGCATTTTGTGCATAACATTTGCATTCGACTCTTGGGCATCATTTGCATAGACAATCCAATTACATACATCTTTAATTTTGCAAAATAATTTTAACTTTTGACAACTGAATTTCATTTGCACTACATAATCGCAAAAAAAAAAAAAGAAAAACTAAAAAAAAAACATTCAAATCATGGCTTTTGTTCATCTGGTTTGGATGCACCCAATTTCCATGTAGTTTTCCACCCCTGTTGATGATAATTACGAAATTCCGTAATTTTGTGGTGTGTGTTGCAGCTTTATATGAAAATGAACAGTTTGAATTAAACATTAATCGCATTGGGGTGACAAATCCGACGAGAATTTTCCGAGAGTTGCACGAAACAGGTGCAAACACATATACATAAAATATTTACTGTACGCAAACGCATTAACAAAATTGGCATATTGCGGCGAGTGGAAAATATTTTTGAATATATTAGAACCATTTGAAAATATTCCGCAATTTATGTGCACACAGCAGGCAAGCATCCGCACTTCAAAAACCCCATACATAAACTTTGTGCAATATGGGGGAACACGTGCAATTATGCTATGAATAACTTGAATTTTGGGGAGAGAGTACCGAGAGATTTGAGTGTTGCAATACCAAATATGGGATAATATTTATGTGGATGTACACATATCGTCGAGAAATTATCACCGTTTTCTTCTTATTGTCACTGATATTATAACATTCTTCTATCTTTATACGTGGTATAAAATCATTTGGAACAATTGTGCTGCTTTTTTACTGACCATTGTGAATGATAATTTTGACGAATGTTCACAAAATTAACCTTTTCTCGAGACGTCAACCGTTCATTTTGATTTTGATTGCACCTTTCATTAAATTTTCCATCATCATTAACTATTAAGAGATTATTTGGTGTGTTGAATTTATAAAATGGCTTGATAATGAAGCTTTGAGAGCATTTACCTGTCTAACATTCTCTCTTTCTCTCTAGAATAAATTTCGAATAATTGGCTGAAAATACCCTCGATCCGATGCGTGTATTCTCGATGTGTTTAAATCAACAAAATTCGCATTTCCATAGTATGATTTTTCATTTTATTATCATTATTTTTATAGCATTATTTTACAATTTAAAATTCTATACAATGGAACAAACCAACAAACAAATAAAACACTTTTTTTTTTGAACATTAAAATTTAAATGAAACAATTCCTTTTTCTCAACAAACTGTTGGTGCTGTCATTACTTAAGTAGTGGATGTTGTGTGTGTATGTAAGTGTATCTATTTACGTGTTTGGATTCAGAACATTGAAAATACTGTGTATTTTTGTGTATATTCAATTGATTTCGTTTTATTATTCGATTATTTTTTTTATTCAGTTTTGTATTTTATGGCCAGCACTGGGTTGTTTTTTTTTTGTTCTATTCTTTTCTCTCTGGATGTATATAAATATAGTTTCTATGGTTACTTTGGATTTGTGCAACATTGGAAACCAATTTGGAAAGGTTTTGTCCAACATAATGTTTGCCTTTTGATTAAATGTACTTGTATATGTTTTTTTCTTCATTTTGGTAACAACCAAATCATAAATGTTTTATTTATTGTTCATTGCCATCACTACATTTCAAATTAGTGTGTTTGTTCTTCTGACAACATTGATGAACAAAACATTTCGGTTTTGCCATTTCTTATTATGAATCAAACAGACAGAGAAAAAATCTTTTAGCTAAAATTGTATAATACTTACAGTGTGTGTGTGTGTGTGTGTTTGTTTTTGTGTTTAAGAAACACGAGCAAAAATGCGATTTTTTTATTATATTTTTCTTTTCTTTTCTCATAACATGATTCTCTTTAGATTTTTTTGGGCACTAGTTTTGGGGCCCACATTTTTGCTTGAGTTTTTATGGTATTTCTCTTTAGTGACGTGAGTCTCTTGGATAGTACTCGGCCAAAATCGATGCTGGAATTCGTTTCAACATTTCTTTTGGGAAAATACGCAACAATTGCCATCCAATTTCCAATGATTCGAATACTGTGCGGTTTTCGTAGTTGCCCTGTTCATTGAAATGGAACAATAAAATCAAATGTTAACAAGTGTTTCCTCTTTTCATATGTATCCATTGAATCTTACTTGAGAAATGAAGTTCTTTTCGAATTTTGTCAAGAATTCCAAGTAGAGAAGATCATCTGGGGTAAGAGCTTCCTCACCGACGACAGCTTTCATGGCTTGGACATCTTTACCGATGGCATAGCAAGCATACTAGAGTGGCAAAAATATAGCAACGATTAAGTCATGAGTACGGAACATGTATAACATTTATGGTCATGTGATTCAAAATTTACCAATTGATTCGAAACATCAGAGTGGTCTTTACGCGTCATACCCTCACCGATGGCCGATTTCATCAAACGTGACAACGATGGAAGCACATTGACTGGTGGATAGATTTGTCTGTTGTGCAATTGACGATCAACGTAAATTTGACCTTCGGTAATATATCCAGTCAAATCAGGAATTGGATGGGTGATATCGTCGTTTGGCATAGTCAAAATTGGTATTTGTGTGATTGAACCATTACGGCCTTCGACACGACCAGCACGTTCGTAGATTGTAGCCAAATCGGTGTACATATAACCTGGGAAACCACGACGACCGGGAACTTCTTCACGGGCGGCTGACACCTCACGCAAAGCTTCAGCATATGAAGACATATCGGTTAAGATGACCAAAACGTGCTTTTCGCATTGATAGGCCAAGAATTCGGCGGCGGTAAGTGCCAAACGTGGCGTAATGATACGTTCAATGGTTGGATCGTTTGCCAAATTCAAGAACAGGCACACATTTTCCATGGAACCATTCTCTTCAAAATCTTGCTTGAAGAAACGCGCCGTTTCCATGTTCACACCCATAGCAGCGAAAACAATGGCAAAATTGTCTTCATGGTCATCCAGCACAGATTTCCCAGTCTGCTTAACAAGACCAGCTTGACGACAAATTTGAGCGGCAATTTCATTGTGTGGCAAACCAGCAGCGGAGAAAATTGGAATCTTTTGACCACGAGCAATTGAGTTCATCACATCAATAGCTGAGATACCAGTTTGGATCATTTCCTCTGGATAGATACGTGACCATGGGTTAATGGGTTGGCCTTGAATATCTAAGAAATCTTCGGCCAAAATTGGTGGACCTTTGTCAATTGGTTTTCCAGAGCCGTTGAATACACGACCCAACATATCTTCGGAGACTGGGGTACGCAAAATGTCACCAGTGAATTCGCAAAGTGTGTTTTTCGCATCGATGCCTGATGTGCCTTCAAACACTTGAACGACAGCTTTTGTACCGCTCACCTCAAGCACTTGACCAGAACGAATGGTTCCATCGCTCAAACGGAGCTGAACGATTTCAGCGAATTTTGGGAACTTCACTTCATCCAAAATAACCAATGGACCGTTTACACCAGAAACTGTCTTGTAGGCTAAAAGAAAAACGAGAGCAATTCAATAAAAAAATCACCGTTGAAAACACATAATTACTTTAATCATGAATTTTTTAAACGATTCCAATATTCAAATCAATTTAAATCATCGAAACACTGTTGATTCTCATGATTTTTCTTACAGTCAGGTGTATATTATTAGGTCACATGACATGTCACTGCCAGTAATTCGATTCAAAACATAAAACAAACATTAGAACTTTAAAGAAAAAAAAAATGGGTGAAAACTCATTTCGACTGAATTTTGCACGGAGCATAAGAAAATTGAGTTGGATTATTCTTTAGATTTATGGAAATTTATTCTATAGAAAGAATTATTTGCAATTTTTCAGTTATCACAATCAAAGTATATAAGGAAAGTATTGATTAGCAGCAGTCCAAGATGGCTGACATTGAACGAGATGTAGAAATGCTGAATGACACTTTTTAGAATATTTTTATGTGATTTTTGCATTATTCATCAAATTAGTTTCCAATTGGAACATTCGAAAAGAATTCGCCCGATTGCAAAACCAATATCATACTATCAATTTTACATTGCCCAAGTCAAATAAAATTCCTTTCGGGTGTGGAGCCTTAACGAATGTTTAGTATGGAAATTTGTGACAATTATCCGAAAACGAATATTTTCCTGCGGGAAATAATATTGAAATAAAAACTCACTTAATCTTGGCTGAGAGTTGAAATCCCGTGAAACAGCCAAAACATGTTCACGGCGCGCCTGATGAGCTGACAACGACATTTTTCTACGATTTTTTTCTCTGCTCGATTCGATCACAAAACACAAACTATTGACGATAAGATTTGTTGTGAATGAAAATTTTACAGCAACTAGAGTTAGTCAGCTGAGTGAATATCAGATTATCAAGCAAAGTTCGACTTGACCGAAAAAAATGGCTCATGTGACTTTTCATACTGTCATGTGACCGTGAGTTGCCCGATGCGTTCCCCAATTTCTTTTTGGGCTAAACAACTACAGACCCACTAATTGTGTGTAGCCTTTTAAAGTACAAGACGTTAAACAATGTATTTATGGTTATTCAGTGTATAAAATAAAATCTATTGAATTTTATTTGTAAACGGCAAATGTTTTTGCTTTTAGTTTTGTTAAATTTCACTCATTAAATTTGAAAAGAAATCATTTTTATGCGAATATTTTTAATAGAATTCAACTCTTGCCTGTTGATTGTTAGACGTGTACTTTGTTATCGACATTTGAAAAGCTTCACACTGTGGTATATTTTGACATAATGTTAGGTACAGATGCACATTCCATTCTTATTTTATGTTTTGTAAACAAGCAATCACAACGGTCGTTTGGCTACTTTGTTAATACTTATTTCATAATTGTGTCCTTGTCTGTTTTTTATATTTGTTTTTTTATTTTGTGTTCATCAGTATGTCGCATAAAAAAGACCGGATGAAAACATCTAAACTGAGTTCAACCGTATTGGATTACTATTATAAATACGGTCAAAATCGTGATTTGGAAAAATATCTACGCATGAAACGAAGTACCAGTAAATCCTCCAGCGACAGTAGTTTGAGAAACTATGAAAGTAGTAATTATACAGCGGATAGCAAAAGAATCGCAAAATCAATGGACAAATTGGATTTAAGTGATGGAAAATCGAAGCCAACAGATGATTCAGGCCGAAGAACGGTCAAATCCACTGAAGATGTGTGTGAATCTGGCGATGGTCCAAAAGAGAAGCCCAAATCAAATGAGAAGAATCAGATAAAAATAGAAAAGAAAACACAACAGCAATTCAAGAGCAAATCGAAGAGCAAATCGTATAATTTAAACTTGGAATCGAGCATTGAGATTAATTTGCCATCGTCAACTTCTATGCCAACTTTGCCCACGACGCAAACTATTGATTCCATTCCGAAACGAGCTCAAATTCCAAAACTAGAGTCGTCTGGAACGCAGACGAATGCATTTTTATCGAAACCAATGCAACGGTCGACTTCAGTTCAGGTAGCATCACCGTCTTCTGCAAAAGCCATAGTAAAATCGGAACGTGAACAAATGAAAAAAACTCAAGATAGTATTCAAGAGACGTCACCAGCGAGCAGTGTTGCATCGGCCAAAGTGCGCTTAGAATGGGATTCCATGGCAGACATTGGATATAATCGAATCATTGATTTTAAGTCACAAAGCAATAGTAATTTGACGACATTTGAAAAAAGTGCACTCACAAAGTTTTTCGCCAAGCGTGGATTGAATTTTGATGATAATTTTCTTATTCTTGCTCCGGCTGACAACAAAAGTCCATTACAAAAACGAGAATTCACACAGTCTGCCATTGAAATGCGTGAAGCACAACGAATTAGAAAAGAGCTGCCGAAATTATCGCCATCGACAAGTAAGAAATTGTGGGAAACGGCTTTGGAGAAATACCGTGAAAAGTATAGAAAATCTAAATCGGACGCAACAAGTGGCATCGATACAACGCATTTTATGTCATTGTCAACAGCTCCTCATCACAGTACACCACTGCCTATTGATACTAGTAACAGTGGTCGATTCAGCGATGAACCTTCAAATCATGAGATACAGAAGCCAATTGAAAGTAAACCCGGAAAACCTCAAGTGGAACTCATTGAAAAATGGTGCCAAACATCATCCATCGACGTTGAAGCCATCGGCATTCAAGTTGAACAACCGCAATTCAGCCGCATATCCCGATCCGTGCAATATGAAATAGGTGAATAGAAACCCAAATTTTAATTAAAATATATATTGAAATATTTAAGATGTTTCTTTTTCTCTACAGAACAAGTACATGAATCAACTCAAAAAGATGATGAGGATTTGACAACTGCAACGAGTTTTGAATTTTTGGCTCCGAACGCATATACAAATCGACAAATGGCTGAACAATTAACACCAATACTCAATAAATCAGCTGCTGATGAGATTCCAAATCGCAAAGAAGTCCGAAATGAAAGTATTTATATTCAGGATGAGAATCCCGATGAAAAAGAGAATATACCGCCAATGAATGATAAAGAAAACATTCCACCGCTGCCATTGCATGCAATGCAATGTCGCAATGACCAGCCAAGTGCCTATAAAACGCCAGAAAATACCATAGATAATAATGAATCATCAGTGCTGCCAAATGATTTGCAAAAAGGTGTCGATTTGATCAATGCACTAATCGATTCGTGCACAAACGATACCGCAACCAAGAAAAAACTCATTCGTAAAATTGTACGGCATCTAATTAAATCGAAAGATACAAAAGATATAACGCAAATGATTATGTCCTATTCGGGGAAATCGATGTCGAAAATCTCTGGAGTTGGCTCATTGGATTTAAAAGAAAGTGAACAGTCGGGGGCGGACATGGCTGCCAATGATACAATAAGTGGCATTTCTGCGCTAAGTTCATCATCGAGCGTAGCATCGGCTTCCGTAGAACATAGTCGAATGCCTGTGAATAGTAGACAGGAAAAAAAAGTAGATGGGAAAAAGGGAAAAAAAGAGAAAGAGCAAGGAGTAGAAAAGGAAGAAGAAGAAGAAAAGAAAGATGAAAAAGAAGAACAAATCGAACAAGAGGAAGATATTAATGAGGAGAGAGAAATTAAAGACTGGCTTCTGCCTGTGACACAATCCGAAATTGAAAAGGAAAATGCACGGAAGTCACAAATTATTCAGGCCATCAAAATAATTGACGAAGAGCAGCCAAAATCAAGAGAACGTCGTGCATCGGATCAACTTACAACTTTTGAAAAACCAAACAAAAATAATGAGATTCTAGAGTTTTTGAAGAACGAAAAGAAGACGCATCACAATTGGATTGATCAGGAAATTGAACACTTGAAAAATTTAAAGTTACTCTTACAGAATGTCAATGCAACTGAAAGCGATGAGAGCGGAGAAAGTATATCCGAGGAAAAAATCAATTCCGTTTATGCAAAGTTTCAGCACAAACCAAAACAAAATTATTTCAGTATTTATGAAAATTTCCGGCGCAATGTAAAACATACGAGTGGTAATAGATCGCGGGCCGATGTTTCCAGTTCAATAATAGGTTTGGATGCAATCAAATGATAAAAAAGTTTGTTGAAATAATGAGAAATTATGATTCATTTCAGACTCGTCCAAATCGAGTGATAACAGTTCACGGTTTCTGAATCGGGGCAAAGTTGGTAGCAAGAGCAACTGGATACATAGAACTACACTCGAATCACCGCCTTCGACAATTTCATCTGGCTCAAAAGTGAAATGTGAGAGCAGAGAATCAATGAAACAACCAGCAAAATCTAAGGAAGCAAACCGTTTGCCGAAATGGGATTCTCATTGGAATATGCAGCAACTGGTGAAAAATCGAACAAAATTGAAAACACCAAATTCCGATGAGAGCATTGAGGCTTATGCAGAGACTTGCCGAGCCAAATTCGATCGAAAATGCTCTGAAACCAAATCAGAGTATGGCAAGAGAATCATGAGCAAAACCAGGTTTCGAGATCAACCGATATATACAAAACCATATAGCTCCGATACATACTCGGATATCCAAAATGTTAAGCAATCGAATGGTGACCGTGTGAACGGCAAACAAAGTGATGCTTACACATCAATGACTGGAAGTGATGGATTCTTGTCACCAAACTCAATTTCAATTGGTTCAATTGGTGCAGCCGCCAATTCGGCATCGAACACAACAACACATCAATATGACACGAAAATCTCAGTTGGCCTGCAAACAACTGATACCTTGGAACGTATGCCAATCATTCAGTTGAAAAAACCAATCAATGAACCAAAGTTGGAGGAGCCAGAAGCGCAAGAGCGACCAACTATTTGTGTCAATAAATTGACGATAAATAAGCAGCTTCAAGTGCGACCCGAAGCTTTGGCCTATATTATCACGTTTGAGGACGATAAAGATCAAAATGACAAATCGAATGAGCTACAGGGGCAAGAGCGTGGTAATCAGCTGTATGCAAATGCAAAAAAAATTAATTCGATCAGCAGCCATGTCAACAGCAGCAGTAGTTCGGGTGATTCAAATGGGGAGAGCAAACGATCTGGTGCAAAGAAGCAAAAAAGTCGGTTCAGAGGTCAAACCAGTAGCAATAGCTCACCCATTGAATCACTCGATAATTTAACGTTGCAAGAATGCTTACAGGCTCGCCGACCAGATTTCTATGCAAATGCGGAACAACGACGAAAATGCTTATTTCAAATGCATAATTTAAGGTAATCAACATCACAATTTATTTATGGATGTAAGTCTACAATTTATTAGCTTCCAATTTGTTGCCGTTATTTTACAGGCAGCAACGGAACGAGCAAAGAAAAAAATTGTTTGCTATGAACGTTTGTACCAACGCTAAAACACTCAATAGAAATATGAAACGCTTACTACCTCCACCGCCTTTAGGTAAACAATACGTATTAATTCCCTTGCTACATGCCGTTTTTCTTATCTCTTTCATTCCCTTCTTGCCTATTTATGATGTATTCGTTTTGTACAAATTCGATTACTTTGTTCATTGCAAGTAGCAATTGGAGTAGATGCCAAGCAATGAAACAAGCAATCAAACCATTTACCCTTTCCCCTATTTGTAAAATATTTACAATTAATTGACCGGTTTATTTACATGATCCTTTAAATTTATGCGCGCAGCACAAATACGAATTTTCAAATCGCGAGAAATCGTAAGCCAAACACGACGGAAGTATCAAAAATTACCTGAGCAAAAAAAGCGCCAGCAATTGGAGCGAGACGTCAAAATTCATCGAAATCATCGAATACTTGCGAACATGTTTAACAAGGTTCGTATGCTTGTTGTTTGTTATTCAAATTCAAACTCAAATAAACAACCATATAATTAGTGATAATTATTGACGAATAATCGATTGTTACAGAATCTCCAGAAGCGTGTATTGGGCGGAAAAACTGATCTATCAAACAGTATGATGATCAACTAGTATTAGCATCTAGTGAATTTGCGCATATATTTTTTTACTCTTTATGAATCACTTCAGACGACTCTTTTAATTTCGAAAATGAAAAAATAAAAAAAAGTAAGGTAACTTTACTAAAGATTTGCGTTTTATTCGATATTGTTCTCAATTTTTTGAATTATTCACCATTATAATTGTGTGAAAAAGTGAAATCTTTCGATTGGATTTGAATAGGATTATAATGGGACTGTAAAAATAGTAACGTAGCGTGCTTATTTTGCTTCAATTTCGAATGCAGTGTCGAATTGATTCGATGATTTCGTCGATGATTTTTTTTTTGTCATGAATATTCAAACTGAGTACACACGAAGGTAAAAGAAAAATTCAGTAAAAATAAACGACGATCAGTGTCAATATGAATTTGATTTGTTTTCACACGTAACTCATTGTAACTCATTCAGACTGAAGAAATGCGATACTTATTCCCAGGTTTTTTTTTCCTCAACCTTAAGCCAAATCGGATTCTGTTTTGCAAGAATAACATTAATATTGGACTTAAGACTTAACGGTTCAAGATAATATGTGAGAGCAGCTAAATACGATGGCGTGCACAGCATTCTTTTCGGTCGATGTCGCATACAGCAATCATAATTCATTATGAGCTTTGCCCAATTTGGTTGACATTGATATTTGTAAATTTCAATAAATGACCTAAAAGCATACATACAACGTATACAATGTATCAACTAAATTCTAAGAACAACAAATCATTTTTATCTCATCCAAACCAACGATCGAACGTAGCAAAAAACATCGCAGAGTTTGAAAGTCTTAAATGGTTTGAACCGTACACTGACTGCCTCGATAAATAATTAAAGCAATCATTCTGTTCGGTTTTAAAAATAACGCATTCGATACAGACAAAGAATGTTTGTGAAATAATTGATGTTTTTCTTGAACGATGTCGGATCGAACCAGTTGCATTTTTTCTCCTCCGTTTTACTTTTTTTCTCTTATTTTGATTGGTTGGTTCATTGAACTGAAAAAAAAGTATGTCCAGTGCGCTTCGATACGCTTGTGTGTGATTCCGATTTGCGTGACATTATGCTCTTCCGAATGCAGTAGCTGGTTGATTGTTGTGTTTTACATTGAAACATGGAGGAGAAAAATTGAATCAAAACAAAGGATGATAGAAAATTATTATATATATATATATATATATAACGTGTATATATATATTTGTGTCAAGTTCATTGAGTTAAAATTGATAAATTCAAAATTTTATTGTTTATCAATTTCTTTCATCTTTTTTTTCTTTTCTTTTTTTAAAATAAACATGCAATTATTACTCTTTTTTTCAATAACCAAATGTTTCAACCTTGCAATGTAGTTGAAAATAAGTGAAATACAGAAAAAAATCCGATTTTGTTGAGCAAAAGGAAATTGTTTTCTCGTTTTGGAATGGAAGATTCTGGCGTTTGAAGTTCATTAACATCGTCGGTAGAGGTTGGTCTAGACACAGGTTGACCATGAAATATTCTACCAACAAAGCGAACTCATTTCCTTAAAGTCAACCATGCTATTTAAACGAAACGTATATTAGAGTTATTCATTGTTTATGTCTGCACATTTTCTTTCTTCCTCGCGCCGCTTTAAATCTATTGTTGTGGTGTCGTCATATTCTTTGTTTTGCTTGTCTGTTAGGCGGTCAAATCGGCAAACGCTGACAAAAATTGAATAAAGACACGTTTAAGCAATATCAGATCTGTTGCCTTAAGAAAACAATAACAACAGCAACGAATTTACAAAAAAAAAAAATCAAATGTTTTGATCATTTATCATAGAAGCTTAACATAAAATCATATGAATGCCCTAGCAAAATAAAAAAAGTGAATTATGTTTAGTACAGCGGACGCTCGAAATTCTTAAGTAGTTTGTCCTTGGGCAACTTAAGTTTTCCGAATTCTTAAGATTTCTGGACGATTTTCAAAATTAACATTTTTTAAAGAAAAACACCATGTATTCATTTGATTGCGTAAAAAAGGTTGTGAGTTTGGTTTGTAACGCCAAGCAGAACTAATTTGAAACTGGCCGTTTCTATGAACGATTTGTCGCACAAAGTGAACAATATTTGGCATGCACGCACTTGCTTGCATATTGTCTATGGCTACTACGACAGCAAACCGCGTCATGATTGTTTTCTTTGTTCAATGGCAACATTTTCAAATCATACCGATAATCAAACCGTCGAAAATGCCAATACATTTGATTTTTTTGTATTTACTTACCCAGAATTCAAGACCAAACAAAAGTGAATGCATAAATTGTTTATTTGTGCTAAAAATCGTTTGTTTGATGATCAAAAATTTATGGAATCATTCAAATCTACGTTGCATACAATAAGATTTTATTAAGTTGAACTCAAAAAAATAATTGTAAAAAAAAAATGCGAACCTATTCAGAAAACTTAAGTCAAATCTTAAGATTTTGGAAAGTTACATACAAAGCAAAAACTGCTTAAGTTTTCTGGACAATTAAGAATTCCGAGCGTCCGCTGTAATAAAAAAAAAAAATGAAATCGAAACTTATGCGAACGTTTGCAGCTTAAAGATATTTCCGTTTGAGTTTTATCTCTTTCTTATCAATTAAAATGTTGTTGTTCATTGATTATGTTATTTCGTCGCACTCGATTTTCAACGGGTGAAAGGAGAATCACAACTTTTTTTCTTGCAATTGCTATGTGTGCAAAATTGAAACGTGAAATGGCACGGAATTAAATTTGTACTGGCAACATGCATCCAGAATGCAAGCTATGTATTCATTGAGGTAAAAACAAAAATCATTTTCCCATTCAATTGGCTTACCACACGCTTGGCATATGATTGGAAGAAAAAATACAAAATAATAATTTTAAGCGCTGGCAAACCGTATCTTTTAGCCAGTACTTACAACTTTGGATTTGAAATACAGATTTCGAAAATAGGTTTTCGATTGATCGATCAATGGCTTTATTTAATAATCAAAAAACCATTTTGTCATTCAGCTAATTTAGCAATGTGATGATAAACTGGCGTTATGTGTTTACGAAATCACCAAAAAATTGAAGAGTGAAACGTAGTGACTGACTAGTCGGGGGAAAAAAAAATAAACACCTAACGCCAATGAAAATATCGGATCATCAGTTACTTGATTACAAATCTATATGTTTTCGCTACAATCATATCTCGAGCATGCTTTTGTATCTTTGCCAAAAATGGTTCTGTACTAAGCTGAAAAAACTTAGCTAACAATTTAAAATACATTGCGCCCCGCAAGCCATCTAGATGGCGCCACAAGAAAATTTGGTTCTTATACGAGGTGTATGCTCAAGATATGGCTACAATTATTTAACGGTTACATGATTGTGTCACATATAATTCGCTTACTCATTCATATATTCGATAGATTTGATACAGGTGTGTCTTAGTCAGAAATGATACAAATACTGGGAATATTCGTGCGCGCGCACGACTTTTTTTTTAATCATTTTTTTATGTGTGACTGTGACGTTATTATTGTATTTGAAATGATAGACAAGCAAACCATTTGCATTATGGTCGATGGTGCTACGACACCGATGACACCGGCGAATAGGAGTAAAAGTGTGAAGAAAGACTACGGTTAACAATAAATTTAGAACGATAGAATAAAGAATTAAAACTAAGTTGGTAACAAATACAGTGGCGATGGAAATTTTTTTTCGTCTGCTGGAATCAAATTCAATCAACATCTTGGTCAGCCAACGGATCTATGGAAATGACGTTTGTTTGACGCTCGTTTGAATAAATGTTTACTCCGGAACATGGTAATTTCGGCAATATACGTGTGCGCAAATGAAACTATAGGAAACAAAACACATGCGCATGTTCATGTCACCTCATGCGAATGCTTCATATGCTATATAATAATATAGTAATAATAATACATAGTCTATATGATACGAATCATCCAGTTACCAACTGTTTTGAGAAGAAGGGAAACCACACCGGATTCAGTATGGAGCAATGCTTCTGCATTATAAAAAAAAACGTATACGATCAAGCAAGAGTGTGTAATCATAGCCACAGCTACTACTACGCTATCGAGTTTGCGAACGTGTTGGTGCTGACGTCGAGCATATGCCTTGTATCCAAGTGCACACATAGACACGCGCACCGCTATCAGTGTTGTAGAATGCATTCAACTCTCGATGCGAGACACACATCTGGCTCGTGTAGAATATAATCGCACACAAACACACAAGCACACAAGCACACAACACTCAGTCGATGTAAATTATTTGGTTCTTTGTGTCGTACGTGCGATGAAAGATTTAACGTGAACATAAACACGCACACACTCGCAAAGGCAAATGAACGTGTGGCCGTAAGTGAACCGAAGCATTCACATTATATGACTGTATCGTTTCATTGTGGCTTAGTTGCTCAGAGACTAAGATAGGTGGCTTAGCGTCATACAACGCACATTTCAAGCGGTTCGCTTCAGCAAGTCGGAACACAAGCAATCTCATTGTCTTTTGACTTCGATTAAACTCAATCGCAAACTATAAGTTAAAATCAAAGTGTGACAGATTAATAATTCGTGAATATAATACACTTGTGAGGTCACAGAATCTGCTGGCTATTCTTATCTTTTGCTGCACCGATTTATCGAATATTTTATTCGCTTTTTTTGTGCCGTCTGCAACGCAACAACAAATCCATTGGACAGAGGAAAAAAACACAAACCATTCATCATCATCATCATCATCATCACCGTTGAATGCTTTCGAATCGTCGAGAATCAAAACAAAGGAAACACAACCATTAACCAACAAGTGAAATCTGAATTTGCTGTACTCTAAACAACAAACGCATCGGATTTTTAAACTAACGGATAAAAATCCTATGTAACATCAACGTGTAGCTGTACATCGGAGATTGAAGAAAATATAAAGAGAAGAAGTTTATTTTTTGTGAACCGGAATTGATTGAAAAACAGATAAATTGATACAATGATCGAAGAGATTGTATTCAATAAAGTCAAACTTATATACATTATTAGTGAACCAAATTAACTTGATTTTATCGCCTTTTGCCATTTATATTTTTGTGCAACAAAAGAAAAGAAAGAGCGAAAATATCCCCGATTTTTTCAAACTTTTTTTTTTTGGGCCAACGTTAAATGAGCATTTTGTGTGAAAATACCGATCGTCTTGTTTTATTTCCATCGATTAAGCAAGCTCGAGTTAGTTCGTTCGTTTATTCATCTTTTTGAAGAGTCTAAGAGAATTTTGTGGTAAAACGAAACCAAGCGAAGAACACCGTTGCGTTTGAGTGCATCAATAGCAAACGGCGTTGTTTTGTTTTTTTTTTTCGGATCGCGGCTGCCAAAGCGATTATCCAGAATCATCGACTAGATAGAGGAAATCTTCATTGTTGCAAATTTGCCGTCAAAGTAAGTTGAACCAAAAGTTTATGCACCCAAAACAATGAATTCTAAGCCGCAAACAACAGCAAACTGAATTATTGCGGCTTTGTGTGTGTATGTGTATGTTTTTGTGTTGTCCATTCTGTTTATTCGTTCTTTTCTTTTCCCCCGAAATGAACATATATATCTGATCATACGGTTTTTCTGTGAAATGTTTTATATCAACGACCAAGTTTTTGTGTGACTTATTTCGAAGTATATGCAAATATCACGATACTGTATACAATACATTAGTCATAGCTCAATTAAATGTGAAAATGTGATACCACAATGTATTTTATGCGTCCATTTCGAGTGAGTGTGTGCAATTTTTGTTTCGTTGCTCCCACTTGGTTAGGCAATAAAAATGAATTACACCACTTTTATCACCCAACGCCTAATCTTCATCTCAACCGTTCGTTTGAATGGATCGACTGCTTGTTTTTGCTTTGAATTTTATATACAGATCTACTTAACAATTCTATTCGCTATCGGTTTCCAAGTAAATATTTCTCTATAATACCGGCGTCGTCAAATAAGAGGCAGAGAAAAAAAACAAAGATAATTTTTTCTTTGTTTCAAATTCGAATTTACTAGCCGAACCGTGTTCATCGTAATATTTCAAAACCTCAAGAGATAGATAAATTAAGCTTTAATTCGTAAGTGCTGATAGATTCGTGCGTTGTACATTCGTGAGAACATATGCGGCTGATTCAAATCACAAGACCAAGACTCGATGAATTTTGATAGAAAACGTTTTGAAAAGCGCAAATAATCGTTTTTTTTTTCTTTGTTTTGTCGATATAAACCGTTATCTAGGTATCGTTGAAAACTTCTTGTTGTGGTTCTAAGTCGGTGCATCTTTTGTCATTTTTGTTGTTGTTGCAGATGATTCGATATATTTATTTGAACTGCTTGATGAACACAAAACAGCTAAGAACCATAGAAGCAAGAGGAATGAAAGAAAATGAGAGTGTTCTCGAATAAACAAAATCGCCGAGTGTTTGGTTTTTGTAACACAATCGTGAATGTTTATACACATTTTAGCAGACTATGCAAATGAACAGAAAAAAAGTGTGGAGAAATCCCGTTCCCGTTCAACGGTTTTTCAACGCTCTGCCATAATGTTATATGCACGCAAAACTATTCTGTTCATTTTTTTTTCTTCTTCTTATTTTTGATTGTGCTTGAATCTAATTCTATTTTCGGGCTGTGATCATTTTTGCCTAAACTGTTTCTAAATACAGAGTCAATTTGAATACAATTTTGATGGAAATGCTTGAGTAATGAACATTTATACTGCCATTTAATTGCGCTGTGTTTATACAGTTGCTTTGTGAGTAATTATCACTCATTCGGTGCATCATATGTTTTTTCTCACTTGATCAACCATAAAATATGCGTCAGGATACTGACTAGCAAAAAAATAAATATAAAGGCGGCATTTGGCTGAGTGTGAAATTCTTCGAAAAATACTAACTTCTCCTTGCTCAATTTCAATGAACTCTAGAATGCGAAACAAGCAACCTCTTTAATAGAAGTGAATTGAATACAATTGATTCAGTTTTGATAACATCGATTATGTAGACGGGTCTGCGTGTATCTTCTGACCATACACACATATAGCCACATTGGTGCAGTTTATTTGTGTATTTGGACAGTACGGAAAAACCAATGCCAGTCGTTACTACACTTTTTTGGTTTTTTTTTTATCAAATAAAGAAATAACAAGTCGCGGCGCTCATCGTAAATCATCTGACATTTCTGTTTAAACGTCAGTTAAACATTTGACGCTTGAGATTGGTATCAACAGTCAAAGCAACAACAAAAACAAAAAACACAAAAAAAAAACTCATAATGTTTTTCCGTTGTATTGGATTTCTTTTTTTAATCACCGATGAATCATATGCTTCATGAGAAATTCATTTCATTTGTCTTGTATTGTGTTATATTTTCTGCTGAAAATCACACAAATAAACATTTTATTTCAATGCTAATACCTCTCTATACGTTTTTTTTTTTTTTTTTTTTCAATTCAGACTTCTTCCCCCGAAACATTGATACGAAGCCTATCTACAGAGGAATTTGATCAACGCAACTGTTTGTGAGGTGCGACGGAAAGAAGAATCTAAAAAAAAAACCGCAAAACAACAAAAGAACTATAGCCGACATTTAGAAACTGATTTTTTTGGAATCGAAATCAAATCTATCCAGCAAAACCAGACGAAAAAAAAAAATAACACACCGTCAACACAACGAAAACCAGAACGGTCATTTTCATTTTACATATATATTTTGGCCGACATTCTCTAAGCTCCAAAAATGCTGACGAACAAACTACCTCAGGAGGTCGACACGCTTTTGTCGAAAGGTCAAATTCCTATAATCGATTTGGCGCATTGTGGTGAGTACTTTCTTTCCGCCTTTAAAAACACATTGTGCAATTGATATTTTGAGTATGTCCGAATATGAGTCGCATCACGTTGTTTTTAATGTGAATAATGTATCGAACGCGAGACAGCACATGAAATTCAAATTAAAAATTAACAGGAATAAGAATAAAATGAAACAATGAAATGACTTGGCTATTTAATCGTACACTGTTTACACTTACATTCATTTTTGGATGAGTATGGCCGTTTGTTTTGTGGTGTATGTTTTGTTCACAAGAATAATGAACGTTTTTCGATAAAAGTACGCCGTCTGAGTGTCTGCCTCCATTTTTCGGAAAGTGCTTATACTATCAACAAATCAATAAAAGATAATAAACATATATGTTAACCAAATTTTTCGCTGAAACACTTTCAATTATCACATTAGATCAATGGATTTACTCTTCTTCTTCATTTTTTTGGATGACGCCCATCAAAACGCGAAAAAAGGAGTCAAACAAAAAATCAGAACGACAAGCTCATGTCTGTGTTTTTTTTCTCTCTCGTTCGTTCATTTAGTTCAGACGTACATGTATTTATTTCACAAATATTTAACCCAGATTCTATGAAGCGCAACATCAATGCACGGCTCCTATATGGCGAGCGCCGCCAAGTATTGTTGCACCATAGTCATGGCACTTAACCCGCTTACGTGAAATCGTTTGATTTCATGCATGTAGCTATATAATTGTTGTTTGATTAATGCATATGCAAACATACACACAACACTCATGAGCGCAGTGCCGCATTTTCACACACAGTAAAACGCAAATGAAAGCAAAACCAATTCTCCAAAACAAAAAAATAATTTAGTAAATAGGCTAACTTTTTCAAGATTTTCTATAAAGCATGTCATTTTGCATCGACAGAGACGAGAGAAGGAGGGAGAGAGACAAATACACCGAAACATCATCAACAACAGCTAAAAAAAAACTATTCAGATATTCGTCATACCTACGTCTCGATGATCATAACAGTAATAATAATCGATGACGACGGTGAAGTGACAATGAGTATGGGAGAACTCGCCATACTGTTAACGATCACGCTTCATGTGAGCACACACAACTTTAAAAAAAAAAACGGTTTTTCTGGTTTTGTGCCATTATTATTGTTGTTGTTGCCCTCCCTTTCCTTTACATTCGCATTGAGAAGAGAGAAAAACAAACACGACATTGTACGAATTCGATAATGGTGGAACGTTCATGACATACTGGTAGAGTTTGAACGTCAAAAGCTATGCATAAAAATGGGTACATTAACAACAGTATTGTAGAAAAATTACTATTTTTCGTTGGTTTGCTCGTGTGGTTGTTCCATTTGATATCTTTTTTAAGCGACGGCACTTTCTTGAGTTGAAAATCATTTGGTTAATTCGTAAAACTAATTGAATTATTCCTATCAATGGTTATTCTAAGAACCAAACAGGAATAGATTTCACTGCAAATTAGTGACATTCAATTCACAAAAGGCAACAAACAAATGACATTATTTCGAGAATAGTTTGTCTACTTTCAAATTTTGATTTAATAGCGAATGCTAAATGAAAGAGTCATAATGATCCATAAACGTAAAATCATCGTTGTATTCCTGATATTAACGGTAGTCAATCCCATTCGTTTGACTCTCAAGTTAATTGTTTTGGATGTGCGCAAAATATGGAATAGCATTCGATATTTCTGTTGTGTTCGATTCGGCTTGCAATCTGACAACAATGTTAATAGAGGATATACATTCAAGTGTAGATCATCAAAATGGAAGATCATATTTCGAAATATTGGAAAACCCATCGTTTAGATTGCATGTTTAATTGAATATTGAGCTTGTCAAAAAAAAAAATGAATGTGACAGTGGTCGAAATTGTCTGTGAAATTCCAGTGACCCAGTGGCAAAATTTATGATCATTTCAAATGGAATCCTTGGCCAAAATCAATTGGGATTTTCCGTGTACAATTTCAAATTTTTGTATTTACTGGTGTGCGCATCTGGCAACGTGTGTGTTGGATATCTGAATTACTTATTAAGAAATATGTTGTCATGAAGCGGCAATTAATGGATTTAGTTGATGTTGTTGTTTTCCATTGGTTAATAAATAAAACTAGTTGGAATAGGCAGTTTATTAAACGTTTCGCTCGACTCTTCCAAAATGCGCTCCCCAAAGTTAGCGAGGCAAACAAACACTTCATCTACATATATACGGATTGTTTTGATAAAGTGTGTATCTTGCTGCTGTTTTTTTTTTATGCTTGTCGCCGCGGCTGAAATACAACAAGAGTAGCCGCAGGGCAGTGTTAAATACTTAAATTGTTAAAAGAAGTCTGGAGAAATTTCGAAGCAATGCTAGATTTTGTAATTGCGATAATTTTTTGTTTTATTTTTGATTTGTCGTCGGCTCTTTTCACTTTCCCATGTACGACAACAAAATCGACGGATGCTCAGATGGCATTAATAAATTCATGTGCACCACACAAAAAGAACGGATCGTTCAGACTTTCGTTGGAGAGAGAGAGAGAGAGAGAGAGAGAGAGAGGCTGAGCCATTTACACGACATAAAACATACATCGCCATTATTACATAAACATCAATTTGGTGTTAACATATCATAAGTCATTCGGTGGTATAATTTATACGCTACGAAAATGAACGGTGCTTAGATAGTTACTTTCCAATCAACCTCATTTTCTTTGATAGAAAGAGAAGACAGAATGAAAACGGTTGTTGAGTGTATTTTTCTTCTTCGTACATTTACCATTACCATTACCATTAGGTATTTCAAAGTATAACGTCTTTCAAACGGAATAGCAAAACCAGAAATACTTGTGTTTAATTGAAAAGTGATTAAAACTCAACAACAAATGAATGAAAATGAGATGGAGATGATAAACGAAAAAAAAAAAAACCGAACATTTCATGTTTCGAAATGAAGTGAGAGAAAAAAAAAGAAAGAGAGGGAGAAAAGAAAGAAACGAGAAACAACAAATCATTAAAAATCGGTTGGTTCGTTGTGATTTTTCATGCAAGCAAACCGTTTGAAGTGAAAGATTTGAATCGAAAAACAAAGATCATTTCGATCGAAATGATTTTTGATTTGTTTTGATTTATTGAGATTGAAAGCACACAAGACTGTGCACATTTCATTTGCGCTCGTACCACATAATCGAGTGGCGATGACGGCGGTTGATTTGAAAAATTGTGCTTTGACCCACTTGGAACAAACGTATGCAAAACACACACACACACACACACACACACCGAAATGTAAATGAACGGACGTTCATTTGACCATTTTAAAATGGGCAATAAACGAGACATTGTGTTAACAAATTGAAAAAACGATCATTTCTCTAGCTATCTCTAAAATTTCTTCTCTCAAACTAAAGTATAGTATCAGAAGCCATACCTAATAATGGACTTTTTAGTAATGTACTGCAAATGTCATATATATATACCATTTAACGAAAAGGGTTTTTACTCGTTCTGCTTTCAATTCTTTTTTTTCTTTTTTTTTTGTTTAACTCGACAAAAGAATTGAGAACAAATGAACACATTAGAATAAAAACAACGAATCATATGGTTTTATTGTACATTTGTGTAGTATGCCCTTCTCTTTTTTCTATTGTCTTATCCATTCTGATTTCGTTTCCAGAATCTATTTGAATTTTGTTCGTTGTGCGAATTTAAAAAAGTGAGAGAACATTTGCATCTGATGACTCAATAAATAAACAATCGTATTTAAACGCATTCATGTACCTTAAAACCACTCGTGATATGTGCCGTATTCATATTCAACATTCTTGCGCACCTAACGGTTTTCAGTTCAATTTGTTTTTTTTTTTTTTTTTTTTTTTTTTTTTTTTTTTTGGTTTCTTCTTCATGTTGGTTTACACACTCTTTTCTTTTGTTCCATACTCGGTTATGCGCGTATAGATCGTCAAATGCGCGCTCGAGAAAACATATGATTTGAGTGTGTGCCGTATAGTAATTTTTTTTGTTTTCAATTCTTCATTCGTTGTTCGTCATCGAAATAGCGTATAGCGTATAATAGTATCGGTTTGAATGAAAATGGGAATACAGATCGGTTCCTGAAAAAAACGCAACATGAACAAATTGTTTCTTACAACAACAATACAATAAACATTTAAACATTACCTCGATTAAATCGCTTAACAAAAAAACGCCAATCAAATATTTGTCAAAAAGTCTTTATTTTGATTGCTCTATTGGTCAGAACTAAAATATAAACTTCTCAGAATCTTTTTTTTTTTTTATGAAAATAATCAATGTTGGAACTTCAGACTATATATTTCGGTGTATCACATCAAGGGAATGAGGAAGGAATTTCAAGAATGTAAAACAAATTCTCTGATTCCCATTTTTATTCTAACCGACACAATTTGTAATGCGCATTGTAAAATCGATTACACCGAGCTAGTATACGCTTTATGTGTACCATGTATACGCGTTCCGAAATTAAATCTGTAGCGTAGTTTTATTTCGAAACAATTGAAATGCACGACGATCCGATTTGTGCACGATTTATTTCATTCTTTCATTTATTTTTACTGTTTCGATGTTGCAATGCATGATATTCGACGAATCAAAGACAACGACAACAACAACAACAACAACAACATTCACTTCCAACACACAAGCAATTGAGTCAAAATAAAAAAAGGAAAATATAAAAAGGGTATCATAACGTAAGATAAAAATAGCAAAAGTGTTGATTCGTGAAACTCATTTACACACACATATACATACATTGGGCACGCATACAACAATTCAAACCCAGCAATTTGCTGGCAATAGGTGATCGATAATAAGTGCATTGGTTCACATTAATGTGACGTTCTTGAATTGTGGGCAAGTCCTTTTTGGCTTCACATATTTAAAAATACGAATCGTGAAAATAACAATATATAATGAAAATAACAATAACCAGAGCAACAGATAATTTAAATTACATTCTGCG